GAGACACCAGGAATATAACTTAGGCCGCCTGTGTTCAGTGAACACTCGGTTGAATAGGTGATGAACTTAAAAAGACGAGTGTGCTCCCGAAATTCTCCAAAGCGTGCTTAGAATGACTGTAGGAGACCGGATGTGAAATTAACTAGCTGGTGGAGATCAAAGTTTTGAGTGGACTCATTTACTGTGCTTAAATCTTTATATTGTCTCAGATATTCAAAATGTAGTAAACGATCTGTTTCAAGATCCATGATAAAGAGTTCCAGCTTGTTTCAAAAGCAATCACGGATTGTTGGAGGGATAACACTGTATTTTCATTGCCTTGCAATTTAACGTTGAATTGGTTCAGATAGTCGATCATATCCACGAGATAGTGAAACATGAGGAGCCACTCAGGTTTGGCTAGCTCACGATGCTCAATGCCCTTCATTTCAAGGAAAGTCCGGATTTCCTTCAGGCAAGCTGCAAAACGGCTAAGCACCTTCTCTTTTGACAACCAACGTGCATTGCTGTGCAAAATCAGAGCAGGAAGTTATTTCCAACTTCATCCAGCAGTGTTTTAAACTGTCGATCATTTGAGGCTTGAGCAACAATACAGTTGATGACACGAATGACCAGCGACATCACTTCGCCAAGCTACCCGTCAAATATCTGAGCACAAAGAGCCTCCTGGTGTATAATGCAATGGGAACGTAGGATGGGTCTATCTTCATGATCACAGAGAAGCGCCACAAATCCTTTTTTTCCTATCATACACACAAAATCACAAAATCTGAAGTTTCTGAGAGAGCCGTTCGCAATCATCAAAAGAGTCATATATGGCTCGCGAGGCACAGGTTGCCGACCTCGGACCTAGACGGATCGTCCCTCGCCATTACTCGTGCTTTTTGTACATTTTTTCCATTACTATATAGTCTATTCATATTCATTCACATTATACGGTTCTGACTCTTAGAAACCTTCTCCACTCTTAGTGTATTGATGAGTGTTGACACGTTTAACAGCTCTGTTGGAATCTGACTTAGAAAGGATTTATCCTTGGCATTTGACGTAACTCGGTGTGTGCCAACCTCAACGTCTTCGGCTCGCTACAATACAATGAACCCGGGCGAGTCAGAACAAACTCCCAGTTAACTCTGCGCTATCACCTTCATCGGACAAAGATACTGCTCGTCCTAGCTACACAAGGTGAAGACCGCCAAAGTGGACGCCTAGTCCTGTGTCAGTGGCCAATGAGAAAAAAAAGGAACATACGGAGACTTAAACGTGAGAAACAGAGAGAGAGAGAGATACCTCGCTTGGAAAAATTACCGGCGAATATGAACACAGATGCACAGTGAAGTTCCGCTATGACAAAACCACTTACTCATCCAGAGCTTTCAGATCAGTCGGACCCTCGCCAACGTGAGGCTTGGATAGAGCCGGGTAGGCGCCCAGACCAGCAGTCATGCAGGAGCACTCGGCCATCAGCCAGGCAACGTAAAGCCGCATCCGAAGGACGAAGAAGATAATAATCATGTAGCAGAATCGGTAGCTGAACCCGTGCTCGTAGAATTCTGGCGATCGAACATGCTGAAGAAGAGTAAATGGCAAAATTTTTGTCAGGAATTCAAAGACAGGAATTTAAATTTTGTGAAAAGCCAACAGGTGGGTTGGCTTTTCGTCGCAAAGTAGGATTTTTCGTGTCTCAGTAACGGAACGCGATAATAAGGGGAGGAGCAATTACTTATCAATTAAGGATACAATCTTCGTATAGTAATGCAGCAAACTTTGTCGGAAACGCCGTCGAAGATGAGAGCAACTCGAGACTTGGCTTGACACTGTTCGTTAAGACACGGAAGTGGTTCATGGACCTTTGTTTTTCGGTCACCGTCGCTGGAGAAGAGAATGGGTGGAGTTTTGTAGATTCTTCGCTTCTAATCGTTGCGCGTGGGGATGTGCCACTCGTGCCATCAATGAGACCGGTTAGATCAGATATGATCGCAGCCGTATCAAGTGCAAGTACCTCGTCGGAAAATCAGAGCAGCAACATTATGGATCTCCGTAATGCAGCGCACTCTAAGAACTACTATTTAGGAAAAACGAATGACAGAGCGTCACTTCTGCCGCCTCTTCAAACAGGCCTGATAGTAAAGTCAAACAAAGACTAGATTAAACTGGGTGGTGGTAGCTAGACATCAGGTAGGAAGTTGGTCCCTATTGTTTGTTTTCCCCACATAACAGTTAGTATGTCGTAAGCGCCAAAGAAGATCATTATCCAGATGGTTATTGTTGGGGGGAAAGTTTCATAGAATAAAACACACTCTAATTTCCCGCCCACTTTGGTTCCATCGATAAGACCAAGTCAAAAAAACCGGAGATGGGTGTGGCGAACTTGGCTGGTGTGATTTAATCTGACTGCGTCTCTGCATGACAGTTCGACCAGCGATTTCGATTATGCCCACCGTAAGCTCCAAAAGAGGGTGGTGCAGGGACGGTGAGTTGGGCGTGAATTATTTTTAAGTGATAGTAGACTTGAGCAGCATCTACCGTCCTATTTTTTCCTCACCCATCTTTGTCCGGTGTCAAGATAGAGTCAAGAAAACTGGAGGCGAGATC